TTTATGTGAAGCTCGTGTTGCAAACTGGTGATTGATTTATAATAGGTTACATCATTTCATTAATAAACTAAGTTTGTGTTTGGTTAACTATTTCTTTGTTCTAACAGTTTTTCTTGGCAATAAATCTTATACTGTTGGAAAGTTTATTCCACCTTAAATGGTGCTACATTTGTAATGAAAATCCACTTGTGGGTTGAGCAGCACCACCTCCTGCTGGCCACCTGCTTGGTCACACACTGCTGTGGGATGGTGTCCCGTTCTTCACCCAATATTTGTTACTAGTCAGCCATTGCAGCTTTGTTGGTCATTCTGGCACGAACATAGATTAAATACACTAAGAGAATAAATACAAGAAATCATATAAACAAAACACAACACTGGGAATTCATAGAATTAAATAAAAAAAAAAAACCGAAAATATCCAAAAACCACTAAACACTGGGCCAGCTGACCCAGAGCCATGACAATCCCAGGCTTAACATCCTCAGCTCTTTGAAAGAGTAGTCAGTGGTTGCATTGTGGGTAATGTAGGCAAATTTTGAAAAGGAAGAGAAGTGTAAAAAATACAAAAGGCAATATTTCTGGTACTGCTGGATCGATTCTGACGCCTGCTTGGAGGTATAAATACTGCGTTTACTCAGTTTCTACTCTTTCAGCAGGACAGGAAGTCAGAAAAACCTCAAGAACTTGGTGAAGATATGTTTTTAAGAAACGTTTAACAAAAATACTTAAATACTGATTCACAGCGAACCGACTATCAAGTCAGCTTTATTGATTGTGACTGACATGTTCACTTGATACGCTGTTTCTGCCATTTAAAAAAGTCATCGCATTTCTAAAAGAACTTCTCAGCAACCAGCTGGAATAAAGGAGTGCTCGAACACCGGGCCAACTAATGAAGAAAAATCATTTTCACATCTCATTTTGTAAAACGTAAGTGACCTTTTCTGTGACTGTCCTCTCCACAGGACTCTGTCTGATTACTCAGTCTTTAATCATGACGGGACTTGACTTAAAGTAACATTTTCTGGACGTTGTTGAGTCAGAGCGGGCATCCAGCTGTGCCGCCTGGGATTAAATAGAGAGGTCTGAGATAATGAATAAGGATGCCTATGTGAGACATCTGACCCAAATGTCACATCTGGACCTGTTCTCATCAGGTGACCCTGAATCCTCCCTTAGTTGCGCCACGATATTTTTAGGCTGCTGCAGCCTTCCCATGATGCTTTCTTTGTCACTCACCAAGTGTTTATACACCTTTATGCATTTAATCATGATATATTATTAAACTCTGGCTCTCTTCCACAGTGTGTCTTTAGTCTCGACTCCTTCCCCTCATCCCCAACTGGTCACAGCAGATGGCTGCTCCTCCCTGAGCCTGGTTCTGCTGTATTATTGTAGGGTCTTTACTTTACAATATAAAGCGTCTTGAGGTGACTGTTGCTGTGATTTGGCGATTTATAAATAAAATTGAGCCACCCTGAGTCAACGCCTCGGTAAATACTAACGTGGCTCACAAAAAAACTAGACATGCATGACACTAGAGCCAAATATCCATCGTTACCTGGAGTCATATTTACTGAGAGTCTTACCACAGCAGGTGTTTTAACCTAATGACTGTCAGAGAGATTCGTGACATAACATCACCTATAATAATAATAATAATAATAATAATAATAATAATAATAATAACAAAACAGGTGCAGACAGAATCACCACCCATGCTGTAAAATTCTGATATTTTTAACTCACTGATGCCAGTTTTTAAAGTGACACTCAACCAGCTGACATTAAATGATCTAATGCTGATGCACATTTGCTATTTAGTTGCTTCCTGTGCTTGAGTTGGCAGTTTCCTCTTTCTTGCTACTCTGCATGCAGATACATTTTTACAGGCACTCACAGAGCCTCCAGAAAACCTTCATCTATTAGGCTTTATGACGTTTATGATCAATTTCGTTATTATGTAGCGAAATCTGTTTATTCAAGCGCTTCCTGTGTGCCATGTTTTCATTTCTTCATCAAAGCTGGCAGTCAGTGACACACCCCGCTTTCAGCACTAGGTGTCGCTGTAGCATCGTGTTTTCATCCAGTTTCTGACTTCAGCGAGTTTTCACGTCAAACGTGGTTCGCAGTTTACATTAAGGCCTAAAATTTGTCTTTTTGCCTCTTTTTTTCTCTTTTTTAAAAGTTACTTTGAAGTGAATCATCACGGGTGTTTTTACACCGCAGACGTCCACGCCAGTGTGGGCGCCTCACAGCTTCTTACTGCACAGGTCTGAACACGACTGACACCTTTCAGGTCGACTCGGTCTGACTGTGCTCTTCATAGCGTCACGATAGCAGACTTTGCGTGGGTGACAGTCACACAACAAGTCCGCAGTGTTATGTGTGGCTTACTAGTGCCATGAATATGTTCCAGTGTGCTGCTGCTCTTTGCCTTATCACCTTTGAGTGTCAACAGGTAAGACCAGGTAAGAGAGATGCTAACAGTGACCGTTAACTTAATGGTCACTGTTAGCATCATATGTTGATTATATAGACTGAAACATCTCAATTATTTGCAGTAGGAGCGCAAACGTGGACTACACTGTCTCCATTCATGTTCACCTCATACAAGGAAGGTTTTGAGTACATCTCCAGCATATGCCACCAACAGAAATACTGTGATTCTGCAGAATTTGATGACTGAATGATTTTGTGGAGTGGTCTGTGGTGGGATATTTGCTCACTGAATGAGGATACCAGAGACGATTGGGAGGACGGCTACACAACCTGCGTTTATCCTGGTGGTGGAGGAGTACAAGCATCGGGGCATCCACATCGATCACAGGCTGAACTGGTAGACCTGTATAGACCAGGCTGTATACAGAGCTGAGAAAGCTTATTTATTGAGTTTTCTGTCTGTTAGCTGTGGTGGGTGCTGTGTACTTTGTCGTGGTCTGAGGAGGGATGCAGCATCAGAGCTGATGACACCAACGGACTAATCAGGAAGGCTGGCTCTGTGATTGGCTGCAAACTGAAGACTTTTGAAGTTATTGTGGAGAGGAAGTGACTGATCAAACCACTTACTGGTCAGGCAGCAGAGCATCTTCTCTAACAGACTGATTCAGCTCAACTGCTAAAAGGACAGATACACAAAATCCTTTATACCCCTGTGTATAAATACAATGCATGTGTCTGGCAGAGACATATCTACTACATTCTACTACTTTTTGTTTTTCTTTGCAAACCATGAAAAATCAAAATATTAAAGACTCAATGAATAAACTTTGTTGATGGAAGCTTACATTTTATTGAAGAAGG